CATGTTGATGTAGAAGAGACATGGAGAAGAGGGGACACATGTTGATGTAGAAGAGACATGAACAAGTGGATTTTGCACAATAGGGGACCTTTAACAACTCAATCGATTCATACCTCCTGAATGCTCAACTCCATCTCTTTCCTCCCGGTGTGTTCAGGAGCAGAGCCCCAGCAACGCCACATCCCTGGCGATGATGCAGGAGCCCCAGGAGGTGGTGGAGGAGACGGTCACCATCGAGGAGGACCCCGGCACCCCCACCTCCCACGTCTCCGTGGTCACCTCCGATGACGGCACTACACGGCGCACAGAAACAAAGGTAAGAAGGAAGCTACGTCATAGACTATATGATCAGAATCAGAATCAGGTTTATTACCAGGTAGGTTTACACGTACGAGGAATTTGACTTGGTGTCGTGGTGCATAAAAACAAGGATTAAAGACACAGGTGGAGAACTAGAAAAATATTTAAAATAATTTAAAAAATATATAGTCAAATATAACAGTATTTACATCGCAATGGAATGAAATAGAGGAATACAATATGGAATACAAATCAGCTGTAATGCAAAATGAACGCACACAATGTACACAATATCTGTTTTCTTTGTTTTTATTACTGCCAAATTTTATTCCATTCTATCTCTATTAATGCTGTCAAAATTATCGCGTTAACGGCGGTAATACATTTTTGTAATTAATTGCATTAAAATATTTAACGCATTTAACGCATGTGCAGAATGGCTAGAAACGGTTTTGAAAACTTGTCACGTAGTGATCGTCTTCTCAATAGAACATCTTTGATAATGTCTTCTGGCCAATCAGAATCAAGATAACGGCGTGGTGTTGTTACAGGAAGTCCTGACGGAGAATACTTTAGCTGTAGTACATCTCTATATACATCGATACAACATTACGTGTTGATAGAAATCAACACGCAATGAAATAAGACCCCACGGTTTGATGATTGATAGGTGTGTGGGCTGTCCACATACATACTGTATGTTAAATGGATATATCCGCCTTCTTTCATTTTTTCTTTCCATTCCAACAACAATATACATAAAGAAATGTCATATTTTGGACATAGTTCGAATGGTGATTAATCATGATTAATTCATTTTTAAGCTGTGATTAATCTGATTAAAAATGTTAATCGTTTGACAGCCCTAATTTCTATATAAACACTGCTATATTTTACATTATTTTTAATATTTTTGTATGTTATTTTTTATGTATGCACCACGACACCAAGTCAAATTCCTCGTACTTGTAAACCTACCTGGTAATAAACCTGTTTCTGATTCTGATTCTGAAGAGTGATAGAAAAAGGTATTTATTGACCAAGTTTCTTTTTGTGACCAACTTTCTATTGTTATTTAGTTGCAGAATTTAAACGATAAAACTAAAAGCAAGAGAAAAAATAAGAAAAATGTCATATTTTTAAACTGAATTGCCATTGAGTCCTCTCCTTATACCAGTACAACAAGGTGTGCAATTATATTTACTTATACTTAATAACCTCTAGTGTTTCTCCTTTAGCTCGTTAACAGAAGCGTTTGACAGCTCTGAGATTAGTACGTCATGGAAGGAATATATCCATCGCTTGATAAATATATTATGTGGGGTTTCCATCATATTACAAACATATTTTTAAACCAGGGAAAAGCATCCTTTTCTGATGGTTTAATACGTTGAGAGAGGAGTCATCGTTCAGCAATACAATGTTTGGGAGACATGGAATCTGAATCATCTCAGATACAATGTCAATCACTTATTTTGTCCAACTTTGAGTGTTGTTAGATGCTGTTCAAAAAGCTGTTTTTGTAGCGCTACTTAGCAATAGAATAAAAAAAAAAATAGCTATAAAAGTGATTAATATAATCTCCTGCTGATTTTGCATCTGCTTCCCACTATCACACCTGAGCAGGACTCCTCGGAGCGGTGGCATTGTTGTGGCAAACAGATGCCATTGAGCTCGTAGCTGCAAAACCCTCCAAATCCCCTTTGATCCATTTCAATATTGCTTCAAATTATGGTTATGGATTAGCGCTTCCAAACAACACGGTACCGTACCTCCTCTCCCAGACTTCCTCAAGAACTCCGAATCCCATAATCCTCCAGCCCAAGGTGGTCTCATCTCCCTCTCACGGCTTCATTGATTTGATTATTGTGTTTTTATGACCCCGCTCCTCTGGTGTTTCTTTGCTTCTTAAAAGCTCTTTTGTTGATTTCGTCCTCTACTGTGTTTTGTTTGTTTTTCTATAAGGATGTCTCCTCTAACGTGAAGGTGAGTAGACTCTCATACCAGTATAGCTTTTTCCCACCAACGCCACCATTTTAATGTGCAGCAGTGTGCACCACAGTCCTGCTTCACCCCCAGCCAAATAATGCTCCAGTCTACTCTCTACAATACACCGCTTGTTGCTTTTACCTTGCGGGACGAGAGCCATTCTCTATTCTGTTTTTAATATTTCTTTTGCATGGCCCTCTGTTTCTCTCTTTTTTTATTTCTCTCTTCTGAATTCTGTCTTACAACATCCCTCATTGACATTCAACTAGGTACAAAATACCACTTCTCAGAACTAATAACTAAATGTCCCCATACAGAATAATCAGAAATCTAAAAGGTTTTCAGTAGGTAACTGTAATCTTTCAATTAAATCCACTTAAAGGACCCACTATAAATAAGTCTCAGAATGATGTGTTTGCCAGCTGTAGCCTCGTGACAGCTTGGTCTTTATTTTTGAAATGTATTAACTACCAATTTTCTCGAACATTTGCTCCTCCAAGTAATTTTCCACCACTTTGAAGACCCGAGTACTGACAAATAATTTAAGTGGCATCAGTTATTTGCAATTGCTGGAACCACAATGTCTTCTTCTTGGTGTCAGGTTGATATTTTGAACAATTTCAGGTGTTTACAGCGTGTTTTGGAAGTATGCATTTCACTTCTAAGTCTGAATTCTTCCCTCTATATACACGGGGAAGGATTCCCACCAGAATCCAAGACAGATTTTCATTTGAAAGACATGAATGAGATGGGGCTTCCTTTTTTCCTCAACATTTTGCTCCTGATTTGGATGTAAACGTCTGCACCGTTAACTCCCGTAAGCTGTATGCTTCCAGTGAGTTGGAGAGCGCTGTGTGTGGAGCTCTTACTCTAGGGACTGTGAAACTGTAATTAAAAAGCCTGGACTAATCCCTCATCAGGGAGGGCCCATTGCCCTCCAGCCTGTTTACTGTGAAGTGGGTTGGCCACACACACTCGCACATGATTTCATGCATTCATATGAAGGTAGACCTTCTTAGGGATAAAGCACTCGGCAGTCAGACAACACACTAATCAAGGAGCTTTGCTGCTGAGGAAGGAAAGAGGAAGGACGTGCCTTTTAAAGGGCCGGGAGGAGGATCTCTGGAAGTCACTTTGAGGAGAAAAGCAGATTAATGCTCAGGGTGAACTTCTAGCAGCCGGCGTATAAATGTGACGGCAAATAGATCCTGAACGAGCCGAGAGTTTACCCAAAGCAACCCTCTCCTTGTCTCCCTCACTTTTTTTGTCCCCATCTCTCTGACTTACTTTCATGTGTAGTTTTCCACCCTCTCTCCGTTTCTATCTCTCCACTCATCTCGCAGCAACTCGCAGTTTTATTTATGTGCTTATCTGTTCTTTTGAACCAAAGTCTTGCCATACTGCCTAATGCTAACACACTCCTTTCCCTTGATGGTTATCCCCCATCTCACTGCTGCAAGATGAAACACAGAACCCATCTTCCTGATTTGCAGGCAAAAAAAGTTTTTTCTACTCTGATTTAGTGTCAGCAACATTACGAGTTGGAGTACTGAGAAAGGAACAGACAGAGTTGTTGAATATGAGAGCAAAAGGAGTGTGTTTGTGCAGGGGGTCAGATTCAGTTTCTACACACATATTCAATTAATGCAGGATTTTTTCATTTGCAATTGGAAAACAACTATGAACTAGGGATGGGAATTTGAAAGCAAATGTATATTCGAATATTCGACCCCCCAAAAAACGGTTAACCGATTAACCGACATGTACATATCCTATAAAAAAAAAAAAAAATGTGGGAAAAAAATTAACAAGATTTTTTTTTAATTAAATTAAATTTTGAAAAATAAATAAATACACTTTCAAATAAGTATAGAAACCAAGTCGAATTAGTCAAATGTATTGAACTGGTGATCATAGTTTGAACAGTTGACAGCTATAGGCCTACAGCTTTCATGCTTAAAACATAACTTGGTTTTCTGATGGATTTGGACATAAACGCGAGTGAAGTATAACCGGACGTGAGACAGACATCAGCACCTGCAGCTCTGCCCGCTGTGAGGGACCGGTGAGCGGAGCAAAACACACCTTTAGACCTAACACATTTAGCTATGGCACTGTCGTATACATTGAATTATTCCATTTGATAATATGTAATCAACTTAGGCACCCCTTCCAAAAAAAATTACAATAAAAAATATTAATTTCTCATATTCTCATATTCGAATACCTGAATAATTTCGAATATTCGATTAATCGTTCCCATCCCTATTACGAACAGCCTTTCAATTTCAGATTAACTGCTGGCTGTTTTCAATCAATTCAACTCATTGTGAATTGGCCCTGGACCCTGAATGAATGTACGAGCTAAATTAGATCCACGTTCGTCCTTCTGTCCCAGCCTGCCATGCTTTCCCTTGGCCATCATCCAGCCCTTTCTCCCAGCTGGCAGCCGCTCTGAATGCAACACCGCTCATGTTGAAGGAAGAGCTCAGTTGGACCAGTGAAAGATACATTCCTCTCCCTTCCCTCTGGATATGAGCTAATGGGAGTTGAGGCAGACCACACAAACAAATAAAGCACTTTCACTACCGTGCACACGCCGGGGAGCCGACTTTGAATAGGTAGAGGTTTGTTTAAAAGGTACAGCTGTTGAGGTGCTACTGTTGAATGGAACAGACCGAAGAACAGACACCTTTTTCTACTCAGAGAACAGACTCTCTCGGCTTCAATAAGCAGTCTTTAAAATATTGTTAAAAATATATCTTAATTATTTACTTAGTGAAAGTACTAATACCACACTGGAAAAATACTACATTTCAGGTAAATGTACTGCATCGAGAATGGTACATAAGTAAAGTATTGAAGTATGATTAGGAAAATGTACTAAAGTATTTGGAGTAAAAGTAATCATTGTAGGAAAAACTCAAAAATATTTTACAACAAAATCAGCCAAAGCTCGAACTGTAAAATATTTTTGAACATAACACTTCTTAACAAAATTGCTGCCATTTTCTTTTCTGTTAACCCATTAATTGTTTTAGATACTTACATTAATGTTGGATTGTTTAATACCGAAAAGTTAAAATAAATGTAGTGGAGCAAATAATACATACTTGGCTTCCAAAATGTAGCAGGGTAGAAGTATAAAGTACTATCAAATGAAAATACTACCTCAAATTTGTACAGTTCAGTTCCTGAATGAATGTACTTAGTTACTTTTCACCACTGTATGTAGCAAAGTATTGTACAAGTTATTCTCAAACCATGTGCATTAAAGCAACAGGTTGGAAGTACGTGTGTGCAAAATTAAATCTAATGCAGTTTACTGAGAGCTCTACCCACCCGTTCCTTTAAATATAGGTGACCAAAGTGGTCAAAACCATCACCCGTCGCACCTACCACCCAGTCCTGGTGACTGACAGCTTGTCAGTGGAGTCCAGACCTGGCACCCGGACCCCCACCCCGGTCTCCAACTCCACCCCCACCCCAACGGAGACAGAGCCAGTAATGGACGCCTCGCCCTGCGTGATGTTTGCTGTGTTCCCCCCTCACCCCCCTGCCTCCTCCCTGTTCCTCTAACACAGGGGTGTCCAAATGTTTTTCACCGAGGGCCACATACAGAAAAATATACAAAGGGCTGGGCCACTCACTAGAGGTATACTGCCTCATAAGTTAAGTTATAAGTTAGCAAAATCAATCAAATGTAGGTAAATTACTTGTTACTTGAATATGCTTTAAGAAAACAAACAGCCTACATCACAGCTCTCCAGAGGGTTTCCTTTATTTTGTTAGCAGCTCATTCCTTAAAACAGAAGCTTCATATTTCTTATAATAAGAGGAAATTTGTTTTAAATTGATATTTCCAACAAATCTAAGTTGATAAGAAGCTTTTTTATTTTGAAACATTGGGCTTATTAACACATGAATATTACATTACATTACATGTCACTTGTTCAATACTGTGGGCAATCCCCACAGGAGCAATTTGGGGTGAAGTGTCTCAGGGACACAACGACATGCTGACTGCAGTGGGACTCGAACTTGCTACTCCCTGATTCGATATTCAGCGCACTATCCACTGAGCCACAGCCTCCCTGCTGTGTACTACTGTATAATATCTGTTTTCATATATATATATTTACGAAGTACAAGACAAGCACAAGTTTCATTTGAGTCCCATACTGCATTATACTTTTTGGATTAGCTGAGGGCCGATTCAAAATGCACTGCGGGCCGCATTTGGCCCCCTGGCCGTAGTTTGGACACCCCTGCTCTAACATCATGTTTTAAAGAGCCCTACATACTTTCCAGCAGTGTGGAGAAAATTACTTGCGCAGATGCTCTTCAGATGAGGCTGAAATAAATCACAGGCCACACTATCACAGGTTGCTTATAGAAATCTAAATGACTACCTCATTTTCTCCCCACCGTGTCCATTTGAGCTCTCAATAAAGTGCATGCCGCAGAGGTTGTGAAACCCCTTTAGGAGCTGTAAAGTGGACAGTTTGACGCCTGCTGCCTTTCCCTCCATTTTTAATAGCTTGGTAAAAAGTGTGTATCAGTGGTTGTCTAAAAAAAAAAATTCAGTACAGCCTCTCCATGCATACACATTTAGAGTATATGTTCCCATCCTCTCACTCTGCCATCTGAGCAATTCTCTTTTAGCCCTGTTTACCCCTTCTTCAGCATATTTTATACATCCCGTTTTTAAAAGCAGGTCCCTCGCCTCCCTTGCTTTCCCCAGTTTAACGCCTTGTGAACTTGAGCCTTCATCAAAGAGTGTTTGAAAACTGTGTGATGGCTCCCTTCGCTGCCCTTGCAAATCGCCTAAAAAGCTGTGTTGGTACAAAACATCTGGGCATGTCAAGGCTGGGAAGCTGTATATCTAACCATGCTCTTCTTTTGGTTCAAACGTGGATAAAATAAAAATATGAAGAAGAATAAGAGTTGATAAAATTGTGTGCCCTTGTGAAGCTCCTGTATATCTCTCAGGGTGTTTTCTATGTGTACTTTACTCAAGCTTTATTCAGATTAAAAACAATCCTGGCAAAAACAGGCAGCAGCATAGTTACAGTCAACACATGAAAAACCAGAACAGAGAACATATCACAGTCACAATCAGAAACATCAACAAATCATCTACAGACAAACAGAGTTGCCTGCTTCTCGGTCATAAAGAAGCGCTTTGAAACTATCAAGAGAGACCAGTTTCAGCTTATATTGCAGCTGGTTCAAAGCAAGTTGAGCAGCTTAAAGCCCGCGTCACACTGTCCCGAAGTTGACACCCGATGGACACACGAATATGGAATTGTGAATTTCGCACGAAGATGGCCCCGAACCACACACGAAGGCAACATTTACATTACATTTGAGACATACAACTGCAACGAAAGTAACAAAAACAATTATGTTAAAGTATTATGATACTGTACTGATATTTTCAGACTTTGTTCTTTGCTTTATCCGTCTTTATATGTAGAAGATATTAAGTTTTCTCTATGTTGTTTCCATAGCAACAACAACTTCCTGTCAACTCGCCTTCAAAATAATATATATTATATCCTTTTCAGTTTCACAGAACACAAATTGGGTTATTTACATGATCTGTTTACATGATTTTGTTGTGCAATAAAACAACCAGATGGACACACGATAAAGGAAATGTTCAAATTCGGCTCTGATCGTAGCAACATCGGGCCATTCGTGAGGGCATCTTAAGCCATCGTATGACCGCCGGTGGAGTTTCTCAGGCTCTGGCAGCAACTTCGTGAGCGGTGGTAAAATCTTTGGCATGCCAAACAATGTGCCGAAGGACCTTGCGAAGGTTCATTTTCGTGTTGAATTCGTTTGTCAATGTTGCCCTTCGTAAGGCCATCGTGAGGGCATCTTGTTATCATCGGTGCCATCGGGCATTCGCCCCGATCAGAGTGAGGGCGAATGCCCGATTGGCACCGATGATAACACGAAGATGACACGTTTTGAAAAGATGCCCTCACGAGTGCCTTACGAAGTTGCCGCTCACAAAGTTGCTGCCGGAGTGAGAAACTCCACCGGTGGTCATACGATGGCTTAAGATGCCCTCACGAATGGCCCGAAGTTGTTACGATCAGAGCCGAATTTGAACATTTCCTTTATCGTGTGTCCATCTGGTGTCAATTTCGGGACAGTGTGACGCGGGCTTAACTAAATGCCCTTTTCCCAGCTCAGTGTGGACTTTTGGGACTGGTAGTAAGAACAAGTCCTCAGAGCGAAGCCAATGAGATCCCGTTCTTTACTGATGGATATACAGTTGCAGATGAGGTGAAAGAACACCAAGAGCAGCTTTATAAATAAGGATCTGCCAATGGTTCAGTCTAGGGATGGTCAGGGCAGACCAACCATCCCAAAGATAGATATGTGTAATGAATCTGGTGGATGATATCCAATATGATTAGGCATGCAGAAGATGCATTCATATAAACAACATCAACACAGACATAAAAGTTGCAGTGGCAAGTCTCTTTTTGGCTTCAGTAGAAAAACAAGACTTGCTTCTAAAGTATAAACCCTAATTTTATCCTTCATTTAAGGAATATCAAATGCAAATGAAGTCGACATGTTTTTTTATGAATTAAATGCATTATGCGCATGTAATTGCTTCATCCTAGATATGACTTCCAGTCCTTTTGAGGCCAAGAGTTAGCATTAGATCCATGCTATGAAGACCAGTTTGTTTTCTTACCACTGTGGATCAAGTAGATGAAAGGGAGCTTGTTATCCCAAGGTCATCCATATGCTTCGGCTAATGTGCTTTATTTATAACTGTGCAAAGCCAAGGCATCAGAAACAAACGTACATTGCTTTGTAATTACTCTGAACATGGAAATGAAGCTTGGCGATCCTGAAATAGTCTTTTTGATATAGCTCAGAAGGCCAGTGAACATTTCTATTTGTTCCTACCAAGTTAATGAGGATGTTGAACAACATGTTGTTTGTGCTTTTGCTTCTCTGTGGCGAAGGTTAATGCGTTGTTGGGGTTCCTCGATATCATTACATGCCTTTGCCTGTCACTGATTAAAATCTAAATTACATCGTGGATGGGAAAACAAAGAAAGCATATCACAATTAAGAGAGCTTGTGTTGGAAATTAAACCCATCAGATGTGGAATGAGTCTTTTTCTTCCTTTCCCCGAGAAATTGAAATGGCAATCTACGCTCATCAAGTGAACCTCTCTGCGACAACCTCGTCAGGCACGACATGAAATTGCATCGGACCTGCAGCCCTGACGATTAATTTTCATAAACCTCATTAATTTGAAGAGGAATTTATAGCCGTCGACAAAATAGCCAATTATCGGCCACAGCAGAATTCACTGGGCAGCAAATTGGTTTCTGTACGGGTGGAGAGAGCAGGGAAGGAAGGGGAAGCTGTGTGTGATTCTCCAGTCATCGTCTCAGAGGAAGAAGAGGGAACAGAGTTATGTAGCTATAGCATGACGTGAGCGTGAGATATGGATACATGCAGGGATGGCAGTCACAGTGTGATGCTACGTTGTTCCCGTCAAGGACTATTGGAGATGTAGCTCTTTAAGATGGCTCAGTTACAGAACAACCTAGGACACTACCAAGACAGTGTATATGCAATATTTTCAGTTATGACTTGGCTGACACTATTTGCAGTTATACCACATGTACCGACTTAATCCACTTTATAATTAGAGGTAACACCAATTGGTTACACAGGCCTTGCAACTGGATATTTGTCAGTTAGTATCTACTGAACCTCCGCTACAATGGAGGTTCCTCTCTCAGCACATCCACTAAGTGTTTTTGTTAGAGGAATTATAATTATGCGTTGGTGTTCAGAAAATGATTCCTAACTAGCTTCAGAGTCATAAACATCTATGACACTACAATGGTCCATGAAACTTGCAGACAAGGTACAAAATTAGCACCGTTCGCCAGCCAAATGCAGGTAAAATATGCAATTGGCTAGTTTGTTTTCATTACTTACCGGCCAAATCTCATAATAGAATCTTAAACTTCACTTGCAATTTTGCTTATTGACTTAACATCTATTTTTCACCCTGTTCCCCAAAACAAAAGAGAAACTAACCCCCAAGTTTGATTGAGTTAACATACATGGATGAAGTTTCCTCTGCATAATGTCCAAAATGAAACGCATGCACAAATAGCTTTTTTTCCAATGTATCCAGGTTGTTTGTCTTCCTCTTTCACCGAGTGGCTAACTAACACAATGTCCTCCACAGAGGCAAATATCTCTGTTTAATGGACAGCATGAGGTTTGCTTTAACACCATCTTGCCACACTGTCTGACAGCTGTATCTGGTTCTCTTTGCAGGTGACTAAGATGGTGAAGACGGTGACCACCCGAACAGTGCGCCAGGTGCCGCTGGGCCCCGACGGCCTGCCCCTCCCCGAGGGCTCGTCCCCGCTGGGCAGCTACACCGACTCCATCGACCGGCGCTACATGAAGAACGGAGGTGACCGCTTCATCACGCCTCAAGCATCCTCCACCCTGACGCGCTCCTACAACAACTCCTACAACGACTCATACGGCGAGGCGCCCGAGAGCCAGTACGTCCGCCACTACGGGCTGCACGATGGCTACGCCGATCTGACGGAGAACTACGGCAGCCTTTCACGTGGGGTCAACTTCCGGCCGCCTCGCTACCCCTACATGCCCAACAGCTACCGGCCGGAGAACAGCTACACCCTGCCCATTCGCAAGGATGACTACGGCCACGTGGCGCAGCCCCAGGTGCCCATGGGCAGCAGCACCGTGGATCTGAACCGCTCGCAGCCCGAACGCTTCCAGGCCGAGCCGTACGGCCTAGAGGACGATCGCCGCAGCCTTCCCCCTGAAGAGGAGGAGCCGTACGAGCTGGAGCCGGACTACTCCACCGCCAACCGTCGTACGGGCACCCTGCAGGGGCCCAACCGGGGTCGCACCCACCGGGAACCTCTGCGTGATGGGCCCAGAATCAGGTGAGGATACAGTGCAATAATCAAGAGAGAGCAGAGGTGTTTAAAGTTTGTGTGGGGTTTTGTGGGGCCTGTTTAGCGTTTAATAGAGTGAGATACTTGAGATTCAAGAATCAAAGGTTTTACGGTACAAACTGGGATTAATCGATGAGGACCGTATGTGTGTGTGTGTGTGTGTGTGTAGTATTCAAACCGCAACAGGGACTGAGCAGAGTAGAGTTTTTTTTAGATATGAGTAGATTAGAAGCCGATTAGTAGGCATGCACTCACTGGCTAGGTTTAAAGACCCCTGCCTTGACGCGCATGAGGAGTAAAGCATATGATCAGATTCTGTCTTTACACACTTTTGACTTAAAAACACAATATCTCTCTCAAACACACAAACAAGCACTCAAAAAACCATCTTACACTACAATGGACCGTGATACAGATATTACACAGATGAAAAGTAGTTTTTTAATCAGTACCAAAACCACCCAGATGGTACTGATGGATTCAGCCTACATCCAAGATGTAATGGTTTTGTGAAGGTGCATACAGTAAACACGTTATTCCTTTTAATATTGGACAGTGAGTTCTTGTTCGTATGCATGAGCGGAGGCTTGCCTGACATGAGAGGAGATCACCCTGTTAGGATGAGAGGGAATAACAAACACTTTCCTGCTCGCGCCCATAAAAATAACGACAACACACCAAGTAAACAGATGTCATTTCTCCTTGAGCAACTTGCTTGTGAAAGAGAGCGGAGAACAACGCGTCTTTGATTGCCATTTTCCTGTAAATGGATACCGAACAAGTGTTTGTGTCAGAGTTAAAGAGGCGGGAATGATTTTCAGACGTGAGGAGGGAGGTAAGGGAGGACAGAGGCAGAGGGGGAGGATTTTTTCAGGCATCTCTCAAAGCTTTTTTTACGCAAGCGTTTGTCAGGAGGAGTATAACCTCTGGCTCCAAACAAAAACATTTAAGCCTCCAACAATAACATCCCAGAATAGACTCTTGTCTCTTAATAGAGGCCCATACACATATCCATCCTCAAGTTAATTGCAGCAGGGGTTTGAAGTTGGGTTGGTGATAAGTGCTTTTCTTTTTGAGCAGTGATCTGTAGCAGATGGATGTTTTCTTTTTAATGTGAGATAAAAATGTTCGTGCTTGAGTCCATATCTAAAGGCATAGAGCTTAGAGGGTCAAGAGGCAGTGTGTGTGTGTGTGTGTGTGTGTGTGTGTGTGTGTGTGTGTGTGTGTGTGTGTGTGTGTGTGTGTGTGAGAGAGAGAGAGACAGTGTGTGTCCTCATGCCAGCATGATTAATAGCTGCTTTTGAACTCTGCCAGACTATAAGGGCGTCTTCAAGCCAATCTCTAATGGCTCATCTCTCCTTGGGCGACCCCCTCCCACCTGCAACCCGGGGTCACCTCTCTCTCTCTCACTCACACACACACACACACACACACACACACACACACACACACACACACACACACACACACACACACACACACACACACACACACACACACACCACCCTAATTGAGAGGATGGGGTGGTCTCATTCTAATCCAGTGGTGTCTATAGGGAACAGCCAGAGGAAGTGATCCCCCTCCCCCCTCTTACTCCATCCTGCCAAAAGGCTTTCACTGAGAGACGCTTCATTTTATATTCCCCCTCTGTCATGTTAGTAGAAACTTCCAAGCCACATCACTATGCTTTAATTGAATGAGAACAAGCTGTCGTGGCGGTGGATAATTCCATGAAAACAGCGGGAGAAATTAGAAAGCGACATGACACAAACACACAGGCTCTTGTGCATCATTAAACAATTATTGCCCATCGTTTAAAATGAGCAATCTGGAGCAGTCGGTGAAAAGCTCATAAACGCCGTGGAGATGTAATGTGTACATGTGAGATGCTAACGTCTTGCTAATGCTAAGAGGGTCAGATAAGGCTGTGATTGAAGGTTGATGAAAGTTACTGACAGAAAATGAAGGGAAGGAAGAATAGCTAGAATGTGACAAAGTCCAGAGGAATACAAAAGTTGAGGCAAGCAGGACCCAAATGCAGATAAACAGAAAATACCTTTATTTTAAGGCTACCGATACAGAGCTGAACTCTCTTCCCCGTGAACACAGTCCAACTACCACAAGGAACTCACAAAGACTAACAGAAAACACAGAACCTAAATGCACACAGGACTAATCAAACAAACAAGAGACAGGTGAGGAGGGAGGAGCAAACACAGGGGCACCAGGTGAACACAATCGGGTAATCAGGTAGGAGGGAAAACAGACAGAAAGCAACAGGCAAGACAGGGGGTGAACGCTTTTCAAAATAAAACAGGAAACCAAAGACAGAAAAAGACAAGACAAAACACAACACAGACAGATCGTGACAACATCTATCGTATCTTTTCTTCTATCCTTTGTGTCTTAGAAAAAAACAAGCGCACATCCTCAGACGAGCGCACAGATACGCAGAAATAGCCGGACGTTTAGCGGCTCCATTAACATGAGGAGATTGATCTGCTGTGATAAAGCTCGGAGCATCACGTCTGGTGGCAAAGAGCCCTTTCACATCCTTTGAATACGACCCTCCCCGTACACACAATGGCGCCAATTTAAATGCAAATCCTGACATTCCCATCACTCAGCCTCGCGACGCTTAACCAAAAAGCCCCGCCGCATCGGCACCGATCTAAACGAGCCACACTCTGAATCAGAAAACTGTACATCTCATCTGTGGGAACCATAGTGTGGCAGATAATGAGAGAGATACTTTATGAACGAGATGGCCGTTATGTATGCAGCTCAATATGAGAGATTGTGTACTGCCCTTTCTTCCGGAGGGTTATTCCTGCCTCCTTGGCTTGTCATGTCCAATATCCCGCAGCAATTGAACGCTAGGTGAAGCCCTCTGTATTGTGGGAGCGTGTGTTTTTATCGTCTACCCAAGGCAGCATTTTGCATCCACCAACACGTGCACACACATACTCGCGAATGTCCCTCTTTTTCCAAACCACAGAGCTGGAGCCGTCCCCCCTAAATGATGCTGTAATCAGTCTTGATTGGTCCCTCCTTTATTTCTGTGGCTACATGCTGCCTTTAAGAGGTTTGTGGCTCTCTAAAATGTTCCACAAAGCTGGAAAAATACTACTTTTAAAATAAACAGTGATGATACACTAGATCAGGGGTACTCAAACTTTTTTGTTAAAGGTCCACTTGTGAATCTTATACGAGGTCAATGGTCCGGATCAATGCCAGTAAAGACCCGGTGCGTCGGGGAACTCACGTAGCCTCAGAAAATAAAACCCTTTCTCTTTTCCTCCGTACCCAAATCTTTTAAAAACTGTTGAACAACGAGCGGATACAGATTTGCTGCCGATCTGACGTCAAATCGGCAGCGGACCCACAGAAAGTTGACTGACGTGTTTAGGACGTAATCTCGTCTTTGTTTACATTAGCAAGCCTCGCTAACACTCAGAGCTAACCTGTACTGGAGAGCACATGTGTTTAAAAAGCAGGAAATAAAAAAAGGAACTCACATTGTGATAAACCCGCAAGAGAAAAAGCATTTGAGCTCCAGACTGTTTTCAGAAATAATCCTTGATGTGGTTTAGAACAGAATGGCGTTTTATCACAATTCTTTTTTTTTTTGATTGTCCGGATTGATTTGCAGTTCGGTCCAGAGTTTGAGAAGCCCTGCACTTGATCCATTCTCGTTTGGGTTAAATGTTTCTTGTTTTTTGAGGAGGAACACCTCTTGGAGAAGACCACAGCTGTTCTAGAAATGTGACTCCCAACGCTTGTTCGGCAAAGTTTGCCATTCAGCTTCATGGTTCTTTGAACTTTATTCAACTGAGGTGGCGCCTCATTCTGTCTGGATTAATCCTCTTTCCATTCGACTTAATAGAGGATTTAATATCTTGTTACATTGCCCAGCAAGAGTTTTTCTCCCAGTTCATTTCATATTGATTTCCAGGCAGTAAAATGCCTACCATCAAAGTCAATATGTTCCTGCATGGTTTCTGCAACAGATGAATACACCAGAGCTGAGGCAAGTGGCATAGCCCCCCCCCACCTTCTCTCTTATCCCAACATGCCTGGGAAGAACTGTAAAAACACATAATTAACATAAAACTCATTAAAAATGTGAGCTTGGTTTCAAAATTCTTGCCAACCACCAGCATTGGCCACCATTTCTGTTGCACCACCAACCACCATACATCAAAGATGGTGAGAGGAGACCAGATGGATTATGTAATGAGAATAAACAAGTCTCAAACTGTGGGGTGGGCGGGGGGATGAACGCTGTGCATAACTACACAACCCTAATTAAATTCCTCCCACCATGTCCTAACTTTCCCCAACAAACATTCTCCCATCCCTTTACAAGACTTGTTCAAAACATTTTGTCTAATAAGTTTTTAAAGAATTGGTTAGCAACTTTTTTTGTAAAACGTGACTCCACGGACTGCTTCTTCGCTGTTGGTTAGAAATATTGTTGCTATGATTAAAGAGCTTTATTTATAACAAGTAACCTGTGTTGTTTTCAAGTAGCAGTTAATGATCTGTCATTTAAAATTGAGCGTCTAATTTCCCCCCATGTTCCCTTAGAGGATTTATGAGGATGCCTTTGGTGTAAAGAACCCTAGAGAGTGCAGATAATAGACATTTCCGAAATATAGATTTATTAAAGGGCATTGTTTGAAAACCAAGCAACCCCCCTCTTCCTCCCCCAGAGGACAACACTTATTTCCATCACAGGAATTGAGTAGAGCTCGAAGCAAACCTAACATAATTGATGCTAACGAGGCTAACGCTAGCAGGGAAGACCTAAAGACATGGTCATTTATATTTCAGCAACCAAATGCTAGTGTTGGCTGCTGTGAGCCCTGAGAGCCCCGGGGGCATCACAGAGGCTCGTAGTCTTCCCCGGGGGCACAGCACAGCTCTGTTCTGTGTTCCCTGGGGGGAAAACATTCAATCCCTTCTCTGCTCTTTATGGTGGCTTCCTAACAAAGAAAAGTTCACAAGACTTTCTTTAAAAGCTTTTTCTTTGGTGTTGCCTTTGTGTCTGTTTCTCCGTGAACTGCCTTTTTGGTTCCTATCGCTCAATCACTCTCTCTAGGACTTTTGTTGATGTCTGACGTGTGCTGCTACCACCTGCCAGCGAGGACAAATGTGACTAACCTGTTAATAACTCATCCAAGATTCAAGCTTTTGTTGTCATGTGTACATACAGTGGAGTTATGACAATGAAAATCTTAGGTCCCAGGCGCCTCCAAAAGTACAACACAATAAAACAGATCAAATACAATAGAAATAGTGCAAGAATATTCTATATACAAGTCATTGGAATCCAAACCGCATATCACCACCTTCCCTCCTTATCTCCATCACCCACTCCTTCTCACCTCTTCCTCACCCCATCCTCTCTTCCCCTCATTAGTCAGAGTTTCTCACCTCAGTTAGCTTCTTTCAAAGTCTTCCCCCCCGGCTGCCTAATTCCTCTCTCAGACAAATCTGTCTGAGTCACCCTCCATTTACCTCGTCTGTCTCCCTTGTCCTCACTGTCCTCTCTTCTTTTCTCCTTCCAGAGGGTACCCAGACGAAGCCATCGAGCCAGAGCTGATCGATGAGCGCCACCCCTACATCCACAGCATGTATTCAGCTCCTCTCGCCCTGCCGGAGAGGGGCAGCATGGCCAGTTTGGACCGCTTGGCAGGCCGGCGTTCCCCCTCCATCGACAGCATGCGTAAGGACCCGCGCTGGCGTGACCCCGACCTCACGGAGGTCATCGCCATGTTGGGCCACCCCATCGACCCGGTGAAGTCCAACGCTGCGGCCTACCTGCAGCACCTGTGTTACGAGAACGATAAGATAAAGAAGGACGTGCGTCAGCTGAAAGGGATTCCTGTCCTGGTGGGGCTTCTGGACCACCCCAAGTCTGAAGTCCACCGTAAGGCGTGTGGCGCCCTGCGCAACATCTCCTACGGAAAGGACAACGACAACAAGGTGGCCATCAAGATCTGCGACGGCATCCCGGGCCTCGTGCGCCTGCTGAGGAAGACCAACGACATGGAAGTTAGAGAGCTCATCACCGGTAAGAATACATATTCAATACTTCTGCTTAGAGTTTTGACATCTTCTAGATTGTTGCTTTTATTGCTTGTAAATTGTCTATTGTTTTTACTTGTACTAATTTGATGGTGTGTGAGCTTTTTTTGTGTTTGTTTTGTTTATTTGACGGTACAGCACTTTGATCTGGAGGTTTTAAAGTGCTTTATAAATAAAGCTGTATTTAATGTAATGAGGTTCAACCGAAGTAGACAAAGTGTTAATCAACATGGCTAAGTTCGTTTCCATATGGTTTCATATCGCCTTTTTAAATTCTTGTGCAGTCGATTTGGTGACATCAAGTAAAGTAATCGAAGCAGCTGATCCTTGTCTGACTTCTTGTCGAGCCACTTTAGAAACGAAAAGATGAAATGTGAGAGGAAATGGTACGGTAGATGTTGCACTGGAAAGCAATTACTGTTTATTATTTTTGAATACAAGACATGATCGTCATGTTCTGCTTTTACACATGAATCACGTCATTATGCTTGGCATTTTGCATACATTTTCCTTATTGTCTCCATGTCTGAAAATATTCTACTTGTATTGTGCCCTCATTTGTCAACCACATCAACTAGTTTCTTTGCAAAGCTTGCCTTAAAAACACTTTCATATTTTCCTTAAAACTAATTAAAAAAATTTTTTTTTTACAATTGGCTTGCCACAGGTAAAGATTCCTTTATTATGCAAAAAAACCACCTGCAAAGCGCTGTAAATGCCAAGCCTGTTGGCTGTCTTCTCCACTAACTGTAGAATTTCTCTCTGCCTAATTAGTCTCAACTCTCTGTCACGTACAGTACGTATGAAAGTGCTGCTTTGACGCCTTTAAGCTGATATGATAGTACCTTAGTATGCCAGTCCCATCCAATCACTCGCTGCATACATCCATCGCTTATATATATTCCATCCAGGAATATACTGCGTTGGCTCCCATAATCCCATATGCATAGTAATGCCATCTGAGTCATACTATAATACGAAGCAGGGTACGTTTGCCACACATTATTCTTTTTTGCAGCTTAATTCACAATGTGCTATTTTCTCATCTCCGACTGATACATTATTTGACAAGTTGGTGCCCGAGGCCTCCCATATTAAGAGACACAATAATGGCTGAATTAGCCCTGAATTGCGTAACTCCCCGTATACTAGAGGGGAGATATTGCATTCAAAGCTGTAATTAGTCATTCTTTTAATTATAGTGGAGGCACATTTTAAGTAAATTGTCTTGGAGTTTTCTCTTCCTAACGTTCGTAAAAGAGTAGCAAGCGCTAATGAAGTAATTAGCCGCTAATTTTTTCTTTCAATCAATTGTCACAAAGATAATGGTTTTAAAGACATCACCATGGAAATTGTGATGTTTTATGATTTAAGGTTTATTACAAAAACAGTTAGAAAGTGGAATGACTCTCCGTAGAGAAGCAGATGTCATATGAACATTGATTTCAGGGGAAAAAGCTAATCGCTGCAAAGTGTAATGAAATATGTTTTAATTCCTTTAAGAGGAGTTATTGATTCAAACGCCATGATGGGGTTTTTTCCCCCTTGACTTGGGAATACAGTTTTGTGTGTGTGTGTGTGTGTGTGTGTGTGTGTGTGTGTGTGTGTGTGTGTGTGTGTGTGTGTGCGTGTGCGTGTCTTTCCGTGTGCTCAGCTAATCCCCAACATGATTGCTTTGACCTGACACACTTTGGTATGCTCTCTTCGCCATCGGAGAAGGGGCTTTTGTTCTCGGTACACATGTGTTGAAAAATGAGAACCACTTTAAAGGGAGATGCTTGACCTTTGAGATGTAACCGCCAAGTGTTAAATACAGAATACTTTCCACCCCAAAGAGTTACTTTTGTAGTTATCTTTACAGTTTGAGGAACTGTGGCTGACGAGGGAATCTCGAAGTATTGATACGAGAGGCTCAATTAATATCTTGTTTTCAACCCATAAGCCTCCTTTCCAATTCTCAAGGATCCTTCTTAGAACATTCTGCCACTACCACCATTACTTAATTTTAATGTATATTGAGTTATTTATTTTATTTATTTATTTAACCGTTTATTTGGCAGGGACAATGCACAGTGATGAACACTTAAAACATTAAAATGTGTCAAGCGTAACAGTGCCAGATTTAGCTTTGAGCTAATTTCCATCCGCAGTCCCTCACATAAAACATTCAAGAAGATTACACTTTACAAACATAGCAAAAACAAAATACATGATGTGCAGAAAGTGCAAAAGAGCAAGGGCAGCATACACAAGCATTTATGACTTGGTTATACAATCTAGCAGCTACGACATATAAAGTGCAGGAGAAGATACAAGAGCTCTACCTAAAGTGCAGGAGAAGATACCCCTGTGTTAAAGTGCATTTAGCGGTGATTGCACGTCTGTTTGTTTCTCAACCATTCTTTGAGTTGACCTTTGAAGCTATTGAGAGTGGGACAATCCCGTATCTCAGTTTGGAGGCTATTCCACAATGAGCTGCCTTTAATGGAAAGGACATTTTCCATTTTCAAAAAACACATACTTTTAAAAGACTTCAAATTGTCAAAGCTCAAGAAATTCAGTTTTTCAAGGATGGCACAGTGGTGGTATGAATAAGGCTTTCTGTCAATCACCTTGATAGCTCTCTTGTGCAGCTGCTCTATTGGTTTAAGGATTGTGGCACAAGCAAAAAAACAGTTTGTCAAACAGTATTCAATGTGGGATAGAATCATACAGGGGAGGTACAGTATGACTTTGCAGACAGTTAAGAAGGGTCTAATTTGTTTATAATGTTGCAAGTTGAATTGAATGGTATTGGATAATTTCTTGATATGTTTCTTAAAAGTCAAGTTCGAGTCCAATATGACTCCAAGATACTTGAAGTGGGAGACTAGTTCTATTTCTGCTCCGTTTAAAAACACGTTGGATCTTTCAATTTTGACTGGTTGTTTACTGAACATCATGCACACTGTTTTTTTATACATTTAACTGTAAGCAAATGTTGCTCAGCCAGTGTTGAACCTTGTCCAAAGCATTAGAGAGACAAGATGAGATCATTTCAGTGTTTTTCCCGTGTATAAAGATGACCACATCATCGGCATACATTTGCACATTCAACTCAGGATATACATTAGGCAAGTCATTAATATACAGTGAAAACAGTAACGGTCCAAGAATGGAACCTTGTGGAACCCCAACAGGGTGTTTGGCACCGTTGACCAAAACACACTGTTTTCAGTTTGATAAGTATGACTTAAACCAATGTTTCGAAACTGCCGAAAAATTGAAATGAGTCAGCTTTGTAAGGAGCACTTGGTGGTTAACTGAGTCAAACGCCTTCCTGAGATCAAGGAAGACAGCACCTACATATGGGCTCGTGTCCCACATACGTTTAACCTTTTCCACAAAGACACAGTTAGCCGTCTCAGTGGAGTGGTGAGCACGAAAACCAAACTGCATTGGGTGGAGTGGAGCGAAACTTTTGTCTAAATGTTTGGTGATTAGTTTTGACACACATTTCTCAGCTATCTTAGAGACACAGGGGAGGATGCTGATTGGTCTGTAATTGGACATCAATGCGTTGTCCCCAGATGTAAAGATCGGTGTGACCGTGGCCACCTTCCAGGATGATGGGACTTCCCTCGTGCTGATAGATTGATTCACTAGCATAGTAATTGGTTTTATATTAGACCGGTCGATTATGTGGGTGTCTTTATAAAGTTGGTGTCGAAGATCATAGGCATCCCTAGCCTTAGAAGCCTCTTAACCCTGGACATTAGGTGTCGAAATCATAGGCATCCCTAGCCTTAGAACCTCTTAACCCTGACATTATATTTTTTACCTCAACCTCTGTGATTTCCTCTAGGTCAAAAACGGGGTGTGTATCCACAGGTGAGACCTCAGCCGGCGGGAAGAACAAACCACTTAGCACTTTTACTTTTCTTATGAAAGCCATTTAGTCACTTTAAGACTTCAAAATGCAATATTTTCTGTGTATTGTGTGTATGTTGTGCTCTGAATAGTGATTAAAATATCCATTGTATGTAAAGTTGATGGACAATAAGGTAATCTGAATCTGTTAGTCCCCATATACTAGAGGGGAGATATTACATTCAAAGCTTTAATTAGTCATTATTTTTAATTATTAAGCCAATAATATGGACTACTGCATCTAAAGCAGAGACAGTGCAATATTTTGGTTACGAAAAAATATGTAAAAATATAATGTATGATGGTGGTGCTGTTGAAAAAATGACACCAAGATCATTTAACCTCTTAAGGACGAGTACCCGCCCAATCGGCGCTCGTGAAAGTCTTTTTTCCAGACTGTGTCTCAGAGCTTCTTAACATTTAAAAACCTATTAATGTGTGGTACCAGATTAACGGGAAGAATCTCAGCTAACTAACGATACGAACCATTTTTACCAAAACAAAACACAAGTCTCATAAGAAGCGTCTAAATGACCCCTGAGTGAAAAAAAGCTAACGGACTTGGCACAGAACTCAAGATAAAGATACCCTTATTACTTATCGTAACTGCGCATACAAGATATCCGATTAAAGCTGAGGTTCCACAGATTATTTAGCTGTAGTATCATCACTGAGCGATCAGAACTCGCGACAGGGGAAGCAAACACAGATATCACAACACGGAGCATTACAGAGAAAAAACGGGACATCGTCTCACCTTAGCTGTTATTCTGATCAAAAGTCGTGTTCAATTACAACGAGAAAAAACGCGCCTGAATCGGTTAATCCATAGGTTAATAATGTGTCTGTCTCTTTGAAAAAATTATTGATAATCCATAATTCCATTTGCATGCAAAAATCGGAGAAAGAAAATGAGCTGCTAATGATAGCCACCAGAGGTTAGCGCAGCTTCCGGTTTTTCTACCCGTCACTCTCACTCCTTATTTGGTAACCTGTGTGTGTATGTGGAACTTTCCCTCGATTCCATTGGCTCTGACGGTTAAAAAGAGATGTAAATCATCAAAATCGACCAAGGGG